CCTGGAGCAGTCGGCGGACATGGCGACCGCGCTCCTGGCGGGCGAGAAGCTGCGGGAGCTGATTCTGCCGGGCGCGCAGGACGACAAGGCGGGCGCGCTGGCCGCGCTGCTGCTGCAGCTCAAGCTGGAGCTGCCGTTCGACCGCGTGGTCACCATCGGCACCGTGCTTGTCCCCATCCTGCTGGTCACCCTGGTCTTCACCAAGAACTTCGCAGGTGAGGAGGGAGGCGCGGGCGGGCGGCCGGCCGGCGCGTCCGCAGGTGTCCGGCAACCGGTGCTGGCCACGCGCCGCGCCCGCCGCCTGCCGCGCCCACCCGGCCTGGCGTGTGCGGGACCCCGCCTCTCCACCCCGGCTCGGAGGTGTCGCCCGGGCCGCCTGAGACACCTTCTCCGTTTTATTGTTGTTTTACCTCCCATTCCTCAGCCTCGAGCCCCGGGGGACTGGGCCTGCCGCCCCTGCTGGTCTCAGATGTGAATGGCCCGGTCTGGGCGGTATTATGTCACGCCTGGTCTGAGAGGCTGGAGGAGTGGCCAGGTGAGGACCAGGAAGGGATGTACAGACGCAGAGCACCTGCCGCGGGTTGCGAGGGCCCAGGCTTGCGAGAACAGGTCCCGAGGGTGGAGGCCTAGGCAGCCCCGGAGACTGCCTGGCTGGCCTCAGAAGACCTCCCAGGGCTAAGCAGGCTGTGCTGCGGGAGAGGCCCTAGCCCAGGGCAGAGTGGACGGGATCAGCAGAATGGGGGCCTCAGGTCGCCCTCAGACGTGCATAGGGTGAGAGGTCCTAACGAGAAGTGACCTGGACAGAGAGCACTGAGCCGGTCTGTGGGGAGGGGGCTCTCCTGGTGCCTGAGCATGGGGTGAGCAGGTGCAGGAGCAGGTAGGGGCAAGAAAGGCACCCCCGCAGGAGCAGGGGGACCTGTGGGCTCTGCCTATGGTCAAGGTACAGTTGTGGCCAGAAGGGAACCACGGGCTTCCTATACCCCTGGAAAGTGCCTGTGCTGCTGTCCTCTGCAGCCACTGGCAGGCGTTGCCTTGGCAACTGGTTCTCGGTGAACTTATATGGATGCCTCACCCTCTAGGAGACCCCTGGCCTGGAGATGCCAGGCCTGAGGCTGCTCCAGGCTGCGTACTGAAGGGCCCAGGCTCTGCTGGCCTCTGGTCTTGGACACTGGTGCTCAGAGGCTCTGCCTCAGGACGTGGCACTCCTCTAGGTGGGACAGGAAGCCCAGCACATGTGGACTCAACAGTGTGCACACACGTCCACAGTGGGCCGGAGGGCACACCTCGGCAGGCAGAGGCGGAGGGCATCTCAGGACACACCACATGTGCACAGGCATCGTGGGGCCTGAGTCACATAGGCAGCACAGTGGAGCCGCGATCCCAGCGGTGGGCCTTTTGGGGTACCTGCTGCCAGCTGGGTGGCTTGAAATGTGTCCCTCATAGTTCTGAAGGCCTGAGGCTAGACATCCAGGTGCAAGCAGGACTGGGTCCCTGTAAAGTGCCTCGGGGACAACGCTTCCTGCCCCTTAAGCTTCTGGTGGTGACCAGGAGTCTCCAGTGCCCTGTGGCGGTAGCTGCCTGCCCGCGCTCTGCAGCTGCCTCAGGCAGGCACCTCCATGTGTGTCTGTGAGCCTGGGTGGCTGCTGTTCTGGGACAGTCATGTCAGGCCCCACCCTGCCCTGTGACTTCGACCCAGCTGCAGGACATTTGCAGCTCTGTTTCCAAATGGCCCATTCACAAGCCAGGCATGGTGGTGCACACTAGCAATCCCAGGACTCAGGAGGCTGAGGCCAAAGGACTGCTGCAAGTTTGAGGCCAACTTGGGTTGCATAGTGAGTTCAAAACCACCCTGAATGACCTCGGGATACCTTTTCTCAAAAAAAAGAAACAGCTCACAGACAAGGGGCTAGGACTTCCAGAAGTCCTTTTGGAGACTCAGCGCTCCCAAAAGAGACACGGTCAGACAGGTCTGTGTGTGGGCGCCTGTGGACCCAGCCACTCCTGCGACCCGCGTGCATCCTGTCTTAGGGCACCGTGGAGCCCACTGCACCACCCAGGCCTGTGCCCTGGCCCTTCCGTTCAGGACATGCCCGGCCTGCTGTGGGTGGGTATGGGAAGGGTCCTGCGACCTCCCAGCACAAGCGAGGCAGAGCTGAGCCACAGCACGTGGCTGACCCACAGGGTGGCTTGTGCAGCACAGAGGCTACAGAAGACATCTGAAGCTGCAAGCAGCCATGCTCCCCCCACACCCCTCACATCTTCTGAAGCATCGGGTGGTTCCACTCCCCAGTCAGATCAAAGACAGGACAGCCGTTCCTGGAACGCTTGGGAGCCTTTATGTCACAGGGCCTGGAAACATCCAGTCTCCCACATTCACATGCTAACTCCCAGAGGTTGAGGGAACCCCCCAGACACATGGAAAATCAGGGTGTGTCAGCCAGGTTTGCATAGCCGTGACAGTACCCCACACAACTGAAAAGATGAAAGATACATTTTGGTTTATGTTGCCGGTTCTATTGGTTTTGGCCTGTGGCAGAGGGAAACTCCTCACTACACGGCAACCAGGAAGCAGAGAGGGCTGCGACAACAGAGGCCCTCTTAAGGCCCAGTGACCTGCTCCCATGTGGGCCCTGCCCTCTGGGAACCAGACAGCTGTGAACTCATGAGTGAATGACTCTGATGACGTCAGCACGCTGGTGATGGTTACCTCTGTAGGCCCCGCCTCTGAGCCAAGCCCTCAGCACGAGACTCTGGGGGATGCTTCATAGTTATGTCATCTCTGCCATACGAGTGGGAGCCGTGCACAGTCCCAGGACGGGTGGGAGTGCAGCAGGGGAATGGTCAGAAGCTCTGGCCTTCTAGGAGCAGCCTTCATTCCTCTGCTCTTAACTGAAGCACACCTGGGACCTGACTCTGAGAGGTGACTGCCGTGAGGGGGCCACACACAGAAGTCTGCCTGCCAGCACCTGAGTAGGGGCATCAGGCAGGATATGGGGGACACATCCTAGCCCTTGCTCCAGGCCAGATCCTTTCTGGCCACGGTAGACAGTTGGTAAGTCCAGCGAGCAGCTGCAGGCCCCGTGTGGCACCTCATGCCCTGGGTTGCAGAGAAAGAGCCCTTGCTGTCACCCTCGGGGGTTGTGCTGAGGACCCCACCCCAGCCCCTGCAGTGCAGGTGCACGGTCAGCCCTCCTGGGCTTTAACCTGAGCTTACCATGTCCCATGCTTCATGCTCTTGTAGGAAGGCCTACAAGACAAGGGGCTAGGACTTCCAAAAGTCCTTTTGGAGACTCAACACCACCCAAAAGAGGGACACAGTAGGACAGGTTTGGGTATGGGTACCCGTGGACCCAGCCACTCCTGTAACCCCACGTGCACCCCATCTTCTGGCACCATGGAGTCTACCGCACCACCTGGGCCTATACCCAGGCCCTTCCATTCATGGCATATCCGGACCTACTGTGGGGATAGGAAGGATCCTGGGTGGTTTCTTCGGTCTAGGACAAGCCCTCAGGGCTGGCTCCTGCTATGCAGACCTAGAGCTGGAGGGGTGGCCTGAAAAGACCACCCAAGAGCAACTAGTGCTGCGGTTGAGCAGCTGGGAAAGCAGCCCCGGCCTTCCGCATGATCAGCATGGGAGCTGGGGCCTGTGGAGAGGCCTGCAGCCTACGAGCCACACTCCTCCCTGCACTCTGTGGTCCTGCTGGACACAAACTGGTGAGCTCAGAACAACCGTGACTGGGTGGAGCTCAGTGTGGAGCGGGGCTCTGGCCCAGTGTCTTCCAGGCCCTGGGTTCAATTCCTAGCATAACCCACACGCACGTGCGCGCGCACACACATGTATATGCATGCACATGTGTCATAATTCTGCAGGACAAAAATCTGCAAAATAATGGATCTTGTGTCACAGACTCAGCAGGGCTGGCCCTCGGGAGCCCCTGTAGGCTGCTCCACCCTCCAGCCTGCTGCTGGACACAAGCCCTGGGATCATACTGTACCCCCTACTAATCCAAGACCATCCCCTAAAAGGTCCTTAACCTGATCCCAGCTTTGTCACGTAAGGAATGTGGACTCCCTTGTAGACGCCTGCCAGCCTGGTAGCATCTACTCCAGCCTGGGGGGCTGTGGGGGTCTGGACTCCCCTAGGGTGAGGGGGCTGAGAAGGCAGCAGTGGCCATAAGCCAGCTGCGGGGGACAGGCAACCTCCAGCCAGCTAGGGCAAGTATGCTGGGCTGGGGGCAGAGCCACAGAAGGCACCAGCTTCATTTGGGGAGTGTGCAAACAAGGTGCCCACAGGAAGTGGAGCTGTGCTGGGGCTCCATATCCCTGGCCTGTGTCCGGACTGTGCCTGTGGGGTTGGGAGAACTGGACAAGAGGTATGAGGCTGGACCCAGACAGTGGTCCACACAGGCAGTGGCAGTGTCTGCAGGGGTTGGGCTCTGTCCTCCCCAAGGCTGTGCCAGGCCCACTGCTGTGGTTGTGGCTCCGTTGCTGGCCCTGTGCCCTACAGTGGACTGAGTAGAGGAAAGGAGGGCACCCAGCAAGCTCCTGGGCTGGGAGGTCCAGTGCTGGGGTCTGCGCCCCACTGTCCCCAGGGGAAGACGCCACCGAGGGGCCAGCACAACCTTGGTCTCCCTCACAAATCTGCATGGGCCCAGACGGGGGACCCTGTGCGGCTGCAGCCTGGGCATGCAGTTGGGCCCTTGTCCCTGCTATCTGCCAGTGTTGAACCCTGCACCCCTGACCGACAGCCTGGCTACCTGTGTGTCTCAGGTCCTCGGCTCCCTGTGGTGCCCTTGGGAGCACCATCCTGCTAGGCCTGCAGGACCCTTCAGGCCAGGCCTCTCCACACAGTGGCCCTACAGTGTACTGTCAGCATATGCAGCAACTGGGGATCTAGGTGGCTTGTGGTACTTGGCCACTGGTGGACAAGGGGCAGTGGCAGGCACCTGATGTCACACTCATCATGCAGGGCCACACCACCTTCCGGCCCAGGGGCCCACCACAGAGCCACAGAGTCATGGGAGCTGGCAAGGTCCTTCTCAGGGATGCTACACACCCACCAGGCCCAGCCATTGTCAGACTGGAGTGGTGGTGGGGACAGCATGGCACCAGGTGGACTCCCTGGGGAGCAGGGCACCCTCACCACAGCTCGTAGGGTCGGCTACCAGGACAAAAGTGAAGTGGTGCCTCGCCCGTGGGAGCTGCCACCTTCACCTCCTCAGGCTGTAGCACTGGCTCTCCCTGGCACTCACAGCCTCTGCAGCTTCTGCCCTATCCACACTCAGAGCCCCATGGCAACGCAGTCTCCCTGGCTGGGTCACATGTTGGTGATCCTGGACCCTCATCCCCTCACAATGTGGGGCTACCTAGACTGACAGAGGCCCCAAAGTGCGGTGGCTGCAGCCCCAGTGCCCTGCACTGTGCCAGGCGAGGAGTTGGGCCCCCAGGGAGGACAAACAGGGTTCTGGGCAAGTGCCTCTTGGCACGTGGGCTGCGTAATCAGGTATGGGCATCCCTGCACCCACCCTACCCAATTTTGGGTGCCTAGCAGCACAAGGCAGTGGCTGAAACCTGGTTTTGGTCCAGCTGAGGCAAGGGCAGAGGTGCTGTGGCCTGTCTTGGGCTTCTCTGGGACTCAGTTTCTCTGTGTGCAGTGGCATTTGGGTACTGGAATGGTCAGGAATGCACCATAGGGACTCAAAATGAGACCCACCTCCATGATGGGATATGGAGAGGGGAAGTTGGCCTGGGAGGAACGGGGGCCCAGGGGAGGCAGTCCCTACACAGCTGGGGGGAGGGACTGTGCCAGGCAGGACCCCTGACGCCTATCTCCCAGGCCAGTCCACCTCATGCCCCAGCCTGTGTCTCCTCTTGCCCCCAGAGGAACCTATTTACTGTTACACCCCGCACAACTTCACCCGCGACCAGGCATTGTATGCCCGTGGCTACTGCTGGACGGAGCTGCGGGATGCGCTGCCCGGTGTGGACGCCAGCCTGTGGCCATCATTGTTTGAGCACAAGTTCCTGCCGTACGCACTGCTGGCCTTTGCTGCCATCATGTACGTGCCTGCACTGGGCTGGGAGTTCCTGGCCTCCACCCGCCTCACCTCAGAGCTCAACTTCCTGCTGCAAGAGATTGACAACTGCTACCACCGGGCTGCGGAGGGCCGTGCGCCCAAGATCGAGAAGCAGATCCAGTCCAAGGGGCCGGGCATCACAGAGCGGGAGAAGCGGGAGATCATTGAGAATGCCGAGAAGGAGAAGAGCCCAGAGCAGAACCTGTTTGAGAAGTACCTGGAGCGCCGGGGCCGCAGCAACTTCCTGGCCAAGCTTTACCTGGCCCGGCACGTGCTCATCCTGCTGCTCAGTGTGGTGCCCATCTCCTACCTGTGCACCTACTACGCCACCCAGAAGCAGAATGAGTTCACCTGCGCACTGGGTGCCGCCCCCGATGGCGTGGCGGGTGGGGGGCCAGCTGTGCGCGTCAGCTGCAAGCTGCCATCTGTGCAACTGCAGCGGATCATTGCTGGTGTGGACATCGTGCTGCTGTGCTGCATGAACCTCATCATCCTTGTCAACCTCATCCACCTCTTCATCTTCCGCAAGAGCAACTTCATCTTCGACAAGCTGCACAAGGTGGGCATCAAGACCCGACGGCAGTGGCGCCGCTCCCAGTTCTGCGACATCAACATCCTGGCCATGTTCTGCAATGAGAACCGGGACCACATCAAGTCGCTCAACCGGCTGGACTTCATCACCAATGAGAGTGACCTCATGTACGACAACGTGGTGCGGCAGCTGCTGGCCGCGCTGGCCCAGTCCAACCACGATGCCACACCCACCGTGCGTGACTCAGGCATCCAGACTGTGGACCCCAGTGCCAATCCTGCCGAGCCTGACGGCTCTGCTGAGCCACCAGTGGTCAAGCGGCCACGCAAGAAGATGAAGTGGATCCCCACCAGCAACCCGCTGCCACAGCCCTTCAAAGAGCAGCTGGCCATCATGCGCGTGGAGAACAGCAAGGCTGAGAAGCCCAAACCCGTACGCAGGAAGACAGCAACTGACACACTGATCGCCCCACTGCTGGATGCGGGTGCCCGTGCTGCACACCACTACAAGGGCGGAGGAGGTGACCCGGGTGCCACCAGTGCCCCAGACAAGAAGCATGCACGCCACTTCTCCCTGGATGTACACCCCTATATCCTGGGCACCAAAAAAGCCAAGCCCGAGACGGTGCCCACAACCCTGCCTGCCTCCCGCAGCCAGGAAGGCAGCTTCCTGTCCCAAGCTGAGGAATGCGGGCTGGGCCTGGCCACAGCACCCACCAAAGGTAAGGAACTGGCCGGAGACAGAGGGGAGGAGACCCCCAGGTCTGGAGCCTGCAGTGCCCAGCAGTAGAGAAGGGGATACCTGGGAGCAGGGTGTGTGAGGCGCAGAACTGACCAGTTAGGAGGCCCCAGAGGCAGTGTGAGGAGGAGGAAGGCCAAGCCAGCCCAGCTGTGGCAGCTGCCCTGGCACATGGGGGAGAGCATGCTGCTTCCCTGGCTGAAGAGAGGGAGGACAAGCAGGCCAGTGAGGCGCAGGGCACAGGCCAGGGATCAGAGCCTGCAATGCCCATGTCCCACCATTCATTCACAGATGCCCCCCTCCCTGAGAAGGAGACCCCGTACCCTGCAGAGCCAGCCCGGCCTGGACTTCCTGCGGGGGGCCCATTCCACGTCTGCTCGCCCTCTGCACCTCCTGCTACGGCTCCTCTTTCACCAGTCAGCCTGGGCAAGGCCGATCCCCTGGCCATCCTGAGTCGAAACGCCACTCACCCCCTGCTCCACATCAATACACTGTACGAAGCCCGGGAGGAGGAAGAGGGGGGCCCCCGGGTGCCTCCAGACATGGGGGACCTCATTGCCATCCCCCCGCCCCAGCAGATCCTCATCACCACTTTCGAGGAGCCCAGAACAGTCGTGAGTACTGTGGAATTCTGAGGGCCGGGCCTCCTGGGCCCTCGTAGGGGGCGTGGACACAGCCTCTGCTCGACGGCGCCGCAGCCCCAGCCTCTGCTGCGTGCCAAGGCTCAGCACCCTTCCAGGGGCTCCCTAGGCACCAGTGCAAGAGGGTGGGGCAGGGCAGAAGCGAGGTGCTGCCCACCCTGATGGGTGCCAGGCCATCAGATGAAGAGTTTATTTTTTTAGCCAGTTTTGTTGTGGAGCAAGTTTGGCAGGATGGCTCAGTGCCCTGCACCTTGGGGCCCAACCCAGGGCAAGCAAGGATACTGGGGAAGGTGTGGCTGTGGGGCCACGCCCCAGGGGTCATTCACAGAGGAGCTCCACCCTGCAGGCACCTTGGCCCTCAGGTGGGGTAAGGGCAGCCCTGGGTCCAAATTGATGTGCACTTTCTCCCTGTAGCCTGACATACACTTTATTTTACTATGATTACTGCACCTGACAAGCATACTTATCATCAGGAGATTTGAGATGCATTTAAAGCAAGGGGTGGTGAGTGACAGTGAATGAGCAGGCGGCGAGTAGTGAACTTGAGTGTGTGGGGAGAGGCCCAGTGCCGCCACTGTACCAGCATTTGTGAGCAGGTGTGGGTGTAAGCGAGCGTGCGTGCGCGCGCGTGTGTGTGTGTGTGTGTACTGGCCTGTGTGTGCAAGGAGCACCATGTGTGTGAGCCAGGGGTGAGGGCAGGTGGGCACCAGCACATGAGTCAGGGAAGGAGTCCAACGCAATAACCACACCCCTCCTGGGCCCAAGCTGCAGGGGTACCTGGAGCCCTGGCTGCCTCTGGCCCCGCCCCATTACCTCAGCCACGGCAGCTGTGATGCAGTATTAACGAGGTAGCACTGAGCATATCAATAAATGTTATTCTGATAACCGCTGGTCCTGCCATGCCCTGCTCCCTGCACCGCGCCTCCTGCCCAAGCTTCAGAGTGGTCCCTGGCTTTCTCCGTTCTCGTAGCTGCCTAGTGGGGTGCAGAGGTGTTGAACCCTACCCTGATGTGGGGGGGAGGGAGGGCCTGGCCCTGGGCACAGATAGATGAGTGTCCCCCACCCAGGCTCAAGGAGACTTCTCCAGGGGCAGACACCTGGGGATGGGAGGCAGGCAGGCATCCTGCCAGGGAGACAGAGCTGCAGTCCATGAAGGCTTCCCAAGCAGGTCCTTGGGGGTGGTTATCTGGGGGTGCTCATAGGCAGGGCCTTCTTGGGGGTGGTTATCTGGGGGTGCTCATAGGCAGGGCCTTCTTGGGGGTGGTTATCTGGGGGTGCTCATAGGCAGGGCCTTCAACGTTAGGTCCAGGGCTCATTAGGAGGCCCAGAGCCTGCCAGACCCAGCAACCCTACATATCCAAACACAGCCTCCCTGGAGGCAGGCACTCAGGAGCTGGGCCCCACACCCCATGGAGGGGAGTCAGCTGAGGTCAGAGTAGACCTTCCTGCTACCTGGCCTGGGCCTCAGGGAAGCTCCCTAAAATCCCTGCAAGTGGCCACAGTGCAGCCACCACAGCCCAGCCTGGGCAGACTTGTTCCACTTAAAATGTGGTTTTACCATCAGTCTAAAATGCTTTATTACTGTCCAGTCTGGGTGGTACAGCATAGCAGAAGATGCTGGCCACAGAATAGACAGGTGGCTGCTTGCAGGGGCTGGAGGGTGCGCCCACCACACAAGGGCACACAGGGAAGAACAGGCGGGGGCAGGAGGAGCAGTGCGGGTGGACCAGCAGGCGGCTCCCTGGGAGGAGCAGGGGAGGCAGCTCAGGGGCCTCAGCTCAGCCAGTCTGCAGAACCTCACAGGTGTGGACGGGGGGCGTCCCTGGTTGCCTGGCTGGTCTCAGTCCTGGAGTGGCTGTGTGGGTGGGTAGGGGCCCAGGGTGTGGAGCTGATGGGGTGCTCGCTGTGACCCAGTGGTTTGCACAGTCACCAGCTCTGAAGGGCCCCCAATGTCAGCCTCAGAAATGCAGAAAATAAAAGATGAAGTTAACACACTGTTGCCCAACTGAAGCAGGAAGCTTCCCCAAGCCTGGCATCCATGCCTCAAGGGAAGGAGCCAGGTGCCCTCAGCAGTCCAGGAACCTGGCCATCTGCTCACTAGGCTCACGAGAAGCCACTGCCCCTTGGCTCCCAGCCACTGACCAACTCCACACAGTGGGAAACCCAAGTGAGGCTGCCTCTACCTGCCCAGCTCAGCTGTACACCCTAGGAGCTTGCTCTGGGAGGTGCCCACTTCCTGGGGAACCTGCTGTCCAGGCAGTACCTCCAGGTCAGGCTCCTGTGCTCTCCCTGTGGGCTTTGCTTCCTGCTGTGAAGAGACAGGCTGGGCTGGGCAGAGGTGGGTACAGAGCCCTGGGTCCAGCGAGCCCCTTGAAGTCCTTGGGCAAGGGTTCTTCTGTCCACCCTGCTCTACCTGGGTTGGCTGAACATGTCAGTCACTTCCTGTCTGGGAAATCTGCGGTGATTGAACATAGGGTCCTTTCTGCACAGAGCCTGGACTGCACTCGGTGTCCTACAGAGCACATGTCACTGCAGGTCGATGGGGTGGTGCACACCTAACACTCCGGAGGTCTGGGAGGCTCAAGGTCAGCTTGGGCAACTCAGTGACTTAGCATGTCACTGTCTCAGATAATGAAGGGCTGGGATGTAACTGAAGGGGAAGGCCTAGATTCCATCGTAGTCCTACAAGGAAAAAAAAAGTGGTGCTGGCCCTTTGGCTGAGTGGAGCTGAGCCCCAAACCCTTCACTTCCTGGGTCTTCCTGCTGTCTCCTCGCGTGCCAGGCCCACCTCAAGAAGCCCCTGCTCTGCTTGGCCAGTCCCCCGCCCCTGCCCTGGGCTCAGCCTCAGTGCGTGGCCACCTCCCCCACCCGTGTGGCAGAACAGAACCTGCCCCAAACCAGTGTGCTTGGGACAGCTGTGAGGAGACCCCGGAGCCGCGCAGCCTGAGATGGGGGAAGCCAGGCCCTGCCAAGCAAGGGTCTGCCTCAGCTTCGCTGCCAGCACGGCTGAGCACTGGCGGGCTCTTACCTCCCCCAGCTCTGCTCCCGGGCCCTGCGCAGAGCCACTGGCGCAGGAGGGTCCCGGCAGCCAGCCCACCTCCCCCTCCTCTCTAACCCCAGCAGAGGCCGGCAGGGCTAGTGGGTGCCTTCCCTAGGAGAGGCTGTCTCTGGGAGACCCCGCGGGGGCCGGGCCGGGCCACTGCGCCAGCAGCCCCGCACCGGGATTCCACCCAGCGAGGGAGGTGGCCCCGGGAGTCCCTGAGTGGGGGTGGCTGGCGACCCGCTCCGGACCTGCTCCACCCGCGCCCGGAGGGAACGCGGCGAGAAGGGCAGAACCGAGCAAGGGGCGCACTCGGGGCGGCAGGGTCCCCAGGCCTGGGCCTGAGGTAGGGGCCCCGGAGGAGGCCGGAAGCTGGGAGGGAAGGTGCCGCGGGGCTCCGCGGGCAGCCGGCTGGCTGGTGCGCAAGGCGTGGGCGCAGTCCCGCGGCCGTCCAGGGGGGTCCCGCACCCCGGAGTGGGCCGGGTCGGCGGTCCCGTCCCGCCCTGCCGGGTCGGCCCAGCCCGCGTGGGGCCGAGCGGGGCCCGATCCCCGATCCTGCCTCTTTCTGGCCCCACGGTCAGCGCGCAGAGGCCGAAGCCGCCTCACGGCCGCAGAGGCCGGCTGGCTCGCCCAGGCCGGCGCTAGGACCCGGGGCCGCAGGGCGGGCGCGCAGGCCCCTGGGATCTCCCGGCATGCCGCGCGGC